CCCCACCCCCGGCTACCCCTGCCTGGTTCCGCCCCTGCCGCTCTTACCGTTAAACTTTTCTTTATTAAGCAGCTAAAAGAAGAACGCCTGCTGCTCGAACATCACAGAGTTCACTGTTACTATGTCTGTTGCTGCTCGTGTTATTTTGGCATCTGTTGTGGCTGCAGCTGCTGCTGCAACAAGAACTACTGAACACAATGAAACGTCTGTGAGTTTCAGATGATGCTTCAAGTGATAAAACRTTACTTGTTTTCATCAGACATTCATAATTTACACATTTGTTGATTCATARGAAAAACTCAGAAGGTTGAATTATCGGCTGTTAAAAAATGTCTTGAAGTCTCAAGACTATCAAGGCCTTTTAGAGCTAAATGTGGTTGTTCGCTTCAACAGGATAATGATCCAAAACTTACAGTTAAAACACAAAAATGGCTAAGAACATAACATTGATTAATCTGAATTGACATGAGTTTGTAAATATTGTTCAACTTTAGTGGAAGGAGGGTTTTTATAAAAATGTTGTCAGTTTCAATTTGTTTCAGTGGTCTTGGTGGGGTTTTCTTTCTTAAACAAAAGGGGTATGAACACATTTATTCACATTTCTAAATAGAAAATGATGAATCATTGTTTTTTATTTGTTTGTTTGTTTTGTAAAGAGGCCAGTTGGAATCAAACCATTCGACGTCTGAGAAGTCAAACAAGCAGGACGTAAAGAAACAACAGGAACAAGAAAGAAAGGAGCAGCTAGAGAAACAGAGGAAACTTGATGAGCTAAAGAGGAAYTTTCAGGTATAAACAAAAACAACCCATAAAGAGCWAATTATTTATCCARCAGGAAACACTTCCTTGAAGGTCTKCTGTGATTTTCTCAAATTATTTCATTTAAAAAAACTAATTTTTTGTGTCGTTTCCCTGCAGATCCGAGGTGAGGTTCAGGTTCTTCACACAGCCAGGGCTCGTCACGACTGGCGCGGGGAGGAGAAACTRGATCTCAGCGTTCGACAAGGAGAAAACGTGGAGATTCTTCGCGTGGAGAATAACCCAGTCGGCAAATGGTTGGCTCGTTCAGTCAATGGGAGCTGTAAGTAAAACGTGTAGAGAATCTGGTTTTCAACTTTTATCCTCAAACCCCACAAAGCTCCTCTCAAGGCTTATATGGCATAATGCCTCTGATTTTTTTGTGGCGATTCAGCGAAATCCTTTCTATCTTGTGACTGTAGTTGTTGCATTTTGAGGGCAGCAGCTTCCTTTAGCAGACTGGACCTGGATTGATTTTAACCTCACCTGATTGGTTAATCACTTTACTTTTTCATCAAGCGAGGATGACTCAGCCTCCCTGACATAACACTGCTACAAAACAAGAGCAACGAAGCACTTTTACCACAATTACCACATTAAGATGTTGTTTTTCTTTTCTTGTTTTTCCTTCTGCATCTTAAAAAAATGAAGTACAAGGCATCTTTAATGCAGCTGATTCTAAATGTTCTGCTTTGTCTTTAGTTTTGGCATTTTGTTATTGGAGACTAGTGACGTCACTAG